GGGGGGGAGCGAGTAGAGAGAGAGAAAGAGCATTGTGTCTAACCTGCCCAAGGCTGAATCAGGGAGCCATAAAACCATAAAAAAGTTCTTCTGTCTTAAAAATGATCCATCTTGGACAGGGTCGAGAGAAACAGGGGGGGGTCAAAGGTCCAGCCCATACCCAGTGGCATCAAGGGTCGCCTGTCTGGTTGGCATGCAATGATCAAGCCATTCGCCCAACCCATACAGCCAGTTCAATTTTCTCCCCCATCCCCCTCCCCCTCTTTCCAATCACAAACACACACCCAATAAAGCTACATAATATAAAAATAAACTATAAAATGACCAACAATTTCAAAGAGGACACTAAACAAAATACACTCATCATCAACGTATTATTATACCATAACTCCCATCTCACTCTCGAGAATTGGATATCATAGCATGAGCCCTTTGCTACATTGTTTTTGATCCATTATAAAATTTAAAGTTTACAACCATTGCAAGCCATTTCTTTTTAAGTCTCAAAATTACCCAAAACACCAATCCAATGTCGATGAAAAAAGTGGTCGTCTTAATGGACAACTTGGACAGTGCCATTATGATAGAAAAATGCAAGGGGGAAGTGGGATATGGTCGATTGTGTACAGGTGATTACCTTGGACAGGTGGCTATTATAGCAGCCTGTACTTGTATAGATCGGATATTATCAAATGAATTCAATGTGGGTTGTGCAAACACATGTATTCTGCCCTAATTGTGAGTACAATATATATTAAACTAACGATATTTCATGCGAAGGCATGCATAGTAAATTTCTTTGAAGTTTAATATACATGCAAACGAACCTGTGTACGACGGAAAGCAGGGGAGTCAGAAAAAAATTCCACCTTAAACAGGGAATTTAATGGGGAGATGGAAAGGGGGAGGGGGGATTCAAAGTCAAAGGCTCAGCCGCTGGGATCAATGGTCGCTTGTCCGGTCGGCAAGCAGTCGCAAGTGGTCAAAACTTCACACCTCTAGAAGTTGTATTGTCTCTAATATTTAATGACACTTCCTATTACCACCAGTGCTTCATTTCATACAACCACTGTTTGACCTATTAACAAAAAAGTTTGAACATCTCTTTTGCTCCCACCCTAAGCCCCACCCATCGGTGTAATAGGCAGTCAACTAATGCCACTCCTGACAACCATAGCATTTTCCATCTTAGACAGGTAAAACCCCCGGAAGGGAGTGGATTTTTTGTTCTGTTTCCACATTGGACAGGTTTCCGTGTAAGGTAATTAACGAGGAATAGCCTCTATATAATAATACATCAGGGGGAGTTGGGAGATTCCATTTAGACAGGTTTCCGTGAAGGTAGGTTCGACTGTATATCTGGGCTCTATTCTTTTCAGTCTTGCTGCAATTTCTTCGCCACTGAAGACATGAATAATAAGTGAGTTGGATTGTTGATGTGTATTGACAGTCCCATTGATTCATAGTTCGGAGATAAAGGACCAAATAAAATTAGTGGCATGACTTTTTAAAAACAGGGAATTTCAGGGAAATGAGTGATAAAAAGTAGGTGGAGAGGGGGGGGGGGGCATAAAGTAATATAGATCTATCCCCGCCCCCCACACTTGTCATTTTTCTATGATTTTTGTCTTCGTTTATAAAATTATTTATGTCTGTGATGGAATGTAGAGCTAGTGTTACAAGCGAAATTCGGTTTGTAAATGGCTCTTCCTGCATGCCTATTCATGACAAACTTTTTGTTTGTGATGGTTTCCATTACCACTCATCGTGTTCGACAGCCATGAGAGTGAAACAAAACGAAGTGACTATTCGGACTCGAGTCCCAATATGAAAAAATGTTATTCGGACTCTGATTCTTGTCCAGCATGACATCACTTCCTGAGACTCGTGACTCGTGACCCCGGCTTCCTGTCCTGCCTCACTCGTGACTCGTCTCAGGCTCGGTAGAGACCGGGATCACTTTGGGCAAAATGGCGTTAAATTGTGTCGGAGCCGAGTTTTTATTTTATATTATGATGAATTTGAGGCCGGCCTGAAAAGTTAGAGCGCTTCTAATAAATGTTTATTTGTCAAGAGGTCATCAGAAAATTAAAGATGGCTCGTTAGCATGTGTCGGGGTCGGATGGGCGGCCTGCACACGTGTGGCTGTGTGTGCGTGTCGGGGAAGGGGGGCGCTATCGGTCCGGGCGTTGAACGTCGCATACGCGTCAGCCCCCGACCCCCCCCCGGCAACTGATCATTATTACAATAATAAGCTAGTCTTGACGTAGATCTACGTAATGAATTGTGCGCTGGTCTATGGAATCAAAAGTTGACGTATGCTCGGCTCTACACAGCAACACAACTTTTTCTTGGTAAACACAGGCTTGTGTATTTGAACGAATCTGTCTTTTTTTTTTTACACAGCTCATAATATGCAGGTGCCAGGAGATCTGTTAATCTTCAATTTTACCTTTTTCTACAACAAAGAAAGTGGGAAACATGGGGGGTGGGGGGTGGGGGGGGGGGGCGTATCAATGAGGCGGCATCGGATCGGCAGACAAGGTGTGGGGGAAACTAAAAATGGCGGAAAATTGGAAGCACTGAACGTTAGATCTATAGAACGAAGACACTTCCTTTTTTCCGGTCCCGGAATACAGTTTTTCTATCGGACTCAGTCCGATATGGATTTAGGCTTTTTCTTATTCGGACTCGAGTCCGAATATATGAAATTTTTTTAGGCCTCAATTTTTTTATTCCTCGAGTCCGAATATGAAAAAATGTTATTCGGACTCTAGATGTCTAGTCCAAATAATGACGGCCGAAACAAAATTACCATACCCACTGATCATTTTTCAAACTAGACTTCAAACCTCTCTTCTGTAGTATTAGACTTCTAGCCTGTGTGTGAAGACTCAGCTAAATCAAGGCAACAGTTCTAGAACAAACAAAAAAATAATGATCTAGATCTAGATATCTAGATCTAGATATCTAAATCAAATCAAATCAAATAAATTCTAAAACTGTGTTGCTCACTTTCTCATGACACATCACAGATATATGCAAAAAGAGGCAAGAAACATCTCTCTCTAGCTCTAGCAAAGACAAAGTGGAAAACAGATTGACACTGTCAAGTCAGTAGTAGTATAGATTTTGAATCTGGAGTAGTCTTTGACTGACTGCTCAGTGTGACAAGAAAACTAGATCAAGATCTAGATTTCTAGAGATCTAGACCTGGGGAGTGATTTGGACACAGCAGACTTGCAGACCCACAGACAGACCTGAAAAAGAAGAATATAATGTAAAAATGACTGTCGACTTGATACTTGCAGACATACCTGGTCGATTGGGAGACCGATCGTGTCAGCAACGGGGGTTAGAATCCTTGACCCTCCATAAAATTCGCTTTTAAAAGCCATTTTGATGGAGAGAAAGTCTCCTCAGTGGATCAATTGCACTTTTATGACGATCACAGCGTTGGAGCTTTCCGGTCAGGGCAAGAGGTACAAAGAGAAAAAAACAGGGTGAGGCTCAGGGATGAAGAAATCAGGCTTTTGTGTTGACATACGATGGTGATGGTATCGATAAAGCCAAATTTGGACTTCCCAGATTTTAACAGCTAGTCGGATTGTAGAACTGTTTGCGCCGGTAAAATCACTTGTCACAAACAGATTTGTAGGTGAACGACGTTGCAGGGTTGTTGTTTTGTTTATTTTTAGTAATGTGCGGCGGACAAGCTAGCATAAAGGTCTATAATATTCGGACTCTGGTACTTATGATTGACTATGTTTATCTGCTCAGCAAGCAAAATGTGTGGATGATCCAAGTAGTCCGCTGGTCGGCAAGGAGTCCATAGATTTATGTGCAGAAAAAAATGGTTGTCGCTATTATTACAAGCTGTTCTAGTATGGATTGAATGTATAAAGTTTTCAGATGTAGGTAGGGACTATATGAACCAAATCAACGCTAACATATCACTCTTGTTTCTTGTATACAAAAAAAAAAAACAATCGTTATGCTAATTGGCCCTATTATGCCAGGGCGTTTCGGCATATGAATCCAGAAAGAGTTATACTTAAGCTTAAATAAATGGATGCCAGATCTTCAGCGGGTTCAATGTTCTAAGTCGTTTCACGATTTTTTCATATAATTATTATTATTGTTATGCTCTTTTTCATCTAAGATTTTAAACTACTTATACATAACACCATCCCTAAATCCGCTCAAAACCATTTCGTTAAAGAATGATGGAGAGGTAGTGTGTCAGCTCTTTTTACTGAACATCACAGTAATATATATAGCCAAATGAAAATCGACATCTACCTGTTCACGTATTTATAAAAGCTCAACACTCAACAGCAGTAGAAGATAGAGCGGACATAGCAACCGAATTGTGCAGAGCGAACTTAAAAAATCTCTCTTTCTCTCTCTCTCTCTCTCTCTCTCTCTCTCTCTCTCTCGCTCGCTCGCTCGCTCGGGTCCGCTCGATCATTTTTTAAAATCTATTTTTAGATATCATGTGACAGTAATTCCATTTTTTTTTCTTTTTCATTTTCCATTTGCACATTGTGTGATTGTTGTGTTGACGCTGAACTGACTCAGTGCAGTCGGTGACAAAAACAATTTACTGACCGCCACGACACGAGCGAACTCCGAACAGCCGGTGCAAAGTGCAAATCGGAGGATAAGTATAGCTAGATCTAGATCTAGGTTACACGCGAACACGCTTAGCCGTTGCTGTGTTTAGTGTGCTACCAGAACACATTTTTATTGACATTGTTCTTGTGTGTGCAGTGGCAGTGGCAATCTCGACCTGCTAGAATCTAGAGATCAACACTAGACTAGACGTCTAGACCAGATTCTAGACTTAGATATCTAATCTAGATCTAGACTCTAGATCTAGATAGATCAAAGACAGACCTCTAGCTTAGACTCTAACCCTTTGCCTTCAACTTCAACTTCAACTTCAAGCCGGCCGTCATGTCTGCATTGATCATCCTCTTCCATCTCATTGTCTTCACTATTGATGCTGTTTCTCTTGTTTACGACATTGGATACATTGACATTGGACATGCTGGGTTCGGTGGCAAGTTCAAATTTCTCACGATATGGAACATTGTAAGTATCTAATCTAGATATCTAGATCTAGATCTAGATCTAGATTTAGATCTAGGTTCTATAGATCTAATATTGGTTTTTTTTACGAAGTGACTATTTCTCCGAACGTTCGGAGAAATAGTGCTGATCTTTATTTCTCCGAACGGTTTCCGGATTCCGGTTTCGTTATTTTTTGCCTATTTATTGCGAGAGTTCGGCGCCAACTTTCATTCTGCCTCTGATCTGGGAAGGAACACCGCATGGCAAGCCCGCCTACAGACAACCTTCTCAGTTTACACCCACCACACACCCACAACCATCATGCACATGTACACACACAAACTCATAGTAACTTATACACACACTAACTAAACATGACCAGTGGGCAACTTTTGAACATATGACGAGCCGAGCTGTGGATGGAGAGACAGTGTGAGTGAAAGAGCGGGTGAAAGGAAGAATGTGTGAGTGTATTCACAGGCGACAGCAACTACAAGAGGACGACACCGACCCCTGACCTGGTCCACAGCTCACGAACGAAAGGAATGCAGCTCAGGCAGTGTTTTGCCTATATTATTGTCCATGGTTCGCAGGGTGTATGGGAATGAGTGAGATTTTCTTTGTGAGTGCCTGGAGGGAGGGGTTGGGGTATGAAAGTCATGCGGACAGGGATGAGCCGCGGTAGAGAAGACGGGAATTGAATGAATGATTGAAGAAACTGAAAGAGAGGAACGATCATGAGCCCTGGAGTGAATGGATCCTGTGTTTTCTATAATTTTTGTATACTTTGAACTGTTACTGAATAAAGGCTGAAATAAAGCCCGAAAAACAAACACACACACGCTCCTCACTCTCCACTTACACACTTACTACCACACCCAGACACACTCACACACGCACATATGTACCTACACACACACGCAGGAGCAAATTTTTGGGTCTATATCTATTTCAATTTTCAAGAGCTAGAGATTTTTAGATGAGTGTTAAAACGTGAAAAAGAAAGGTTTCACAACAGAATGAAATCAAAATTAGAACAGCCCATAAACAACAAACATTAACAAATATAAGGGCGTGTGTCCACATGTCCGAAGAAGATTGGCTGTTTTAACCCTAAATGTGCGTAATTTAAAAAAAAAAAAAGTACAGGATATTACATATATATATGTAAATTATGGAATCACGGGCCTGCCAGTGTCAGTACCTTGGTCGTGGCAGTGACAAACGCAGATGCTAGCTCTATATGTGTCGTTATCAATAACCCTCTGTAGATCTAGATTCTATCTAGACAGCACACGAGTGAACACAACACATTACGTTTAAGATCAGCACCCTTCATAGGCAACACATCATATCTGTAGGGAAAAACTGTTTGGAATTGTAGCATTTCTTTTTTCAACATTTACTGTGGACATTTTTTGGACCGATTGAACCATATTGTATACGAACAGTCTTTGGTAGGCCTATACTATAATTATAGATCTATATAATATCCGACATTTGCGGGAAAAGATGTGATTTCAGAGTGTTCGGAGAAATAGTGCCCAGCTTTATTTTCCTGAACGTTCGGAGAAAAAGTGCCGGCCTTTTTTTTATGGTGCGGATCATGAATTATTATGAATGACAAGGCTATATCTAGATCTAGATCTGGATTTCTCTTAGTGCTAGATTCTATAGTCTATAGTCGGGTAACTTCGCCACTCTCAGTTAGCTCTATATGCCCACGTACATGTAGCTGTATTATTAGTGTTATTCATCAGTTCATGCCCTATCATCATCATCATCACTCTGCGCCCCTCGGGGACTCATGCATGCAGGTCTAGATTCATTTGTCAGTGCGATCACTCATCATTTCATTCCGTTCTACATCACCGTCTCGTGTCTTCTATTTGATGTCGTCATCACTTGTAACCCCGTTGAATTATTAAAAGTTCATTGATGTTATCCAACAAGTGATGAGTCATTCTTTAGTACAGTCGAACCTGCGTAAGACAGCCGCTGATTGTCGATGAGAAAAATGTCCGTCTAAGACGGGTAGCCGTCCCCCCTTGCGGTTTTTTCTTCTGTAAAATGGGTACCTGTCCAAGGCAGCCGCAGCCACCATCATATTTTAACACACAACCCCTCTCACACGAAACAATAACCGTAGTGACTCCATTACGTTTTGTCATTAATCATGCATTGGCCCCTGGCGTTGTGGGCAAGCCTGCTGTCGTTGTTAGGTAGTCCATCCAACCGATCATGTTGCGTTGGCCCCTCCCACTGTTGACCGATAGGTAACAAATTTTCAGCTGCTGGTGAGGGAAGTGTGTGATCCCTCGTAACCCATGCCCCGCCCAGATCTCGTACACAAATCGTAAGTGAGATGAGTGGTCACTGTTTACCAAGTCTGTAACAAAGTAACAATGGACATCAATGGAGTGGTGGCGACCCATGTGTTTGTTTTACCATAGCACTCGGTCCTCCTTGTCTAACACATTTTGTTTTATTGTCTCCCTTGCTCAAAGCAGCAACAAAATTTTTTAAAAGAAAGAAAAAAAACAGCAAAAGCAACAACAACAAAAATGCCGCGACCTCAGAAAGGAATGGTTTGTTTTCTTCATCTTCATCAGTCCTGCCTAAGATGGCCACCTCTTTTATCATTTTATTCAGCCACTTTTCTCCTCAACAATGGGTGGCCGTCTTACACAGGTTTGACAGTATATATAAAGGGTTGGTAGGTTAGAATTCTTACACCGGTACCCAAGACATGTTGTGGTTGTTATAGAATTTTTAAATTCTGCTGTGCAGTCTAAGTCCCAACAATTTGAATCAAAACTGTAAACGGAATAAAGAGCTTTTGAAAAGGAAGAGAAAATAAATAAGAATTTAATGAGAATCTGATATTTTGCTGAAACGAAAGTAAATAATATAGCCTCTACAATAATAATATTATGGATCCATCAAATCCATGTACTTGAAACTGAATTTGTGTTCTCTAGGTAATAGTTTATCAGGAGATGCAACTTCAAGATTAAAGTACCACAGATGGTGGGTGCTAAAAAGTTAAATTAATCCTAAGCATTCCCCTCTCGTAAGTTTAGTTTAGTCCTTACATAATTAACAGAATTCAGAAAAAATATGAGATTAAAGATGCTCATCTTGTCTTTTAAACAAGCTTTTTAATTTTAAACCCGAAGGACTTCCGTAACGAGCGAACATCCCAGCAAACACCATATATATATATATATATATATATATATATATATATATATATATATATATATGTATAGAAGAGACCTTACCCTACCCCAAACCCTAACCCTATTCCTACCCCAAACCCAACCCCTTCCCCAAACCCTAACCTAAAACTCCATTCTACTCTGTTTCATAGTGGTCGCTCGTTACGGAATTTCTCTCTTTAAATCAGTACCAGTAACAATCAGGCTGATTAGAGGAATTCGTTATTGAAATCAAGAGTAAAACAATATCCTCGGCAAGCTGTTGAAATGTCCTTAGCCCAGATAGTCAGAAAAGCAAAATTTTTCAGTTGAGGGAAGAAACTGTTTCATTATTTTAATTGTACTCTGCATTATAATGTACATTTTCTTTCCTTATTTCAACATGTTTTTTGTTTGTTTGTTTGTTTTGTTTTTTTTGGGTTTTTTTACAGGGAATGTCAAAGTTATTCCATTTCACTTTAAATCGGTAATTTTCTTTCTCTCCCAGTGTCTCCAAACATTATACTATGGCTTGAGTCTGCTGAAAGATTTGACAGAAGAAGAGGCAGGGCCAGCTGGACAGGCTAGACGGTCAACCCTACACAGATGGAGGGACTCATTTCTTACCATAATTGCCTTCCCCGTAGGCTCGGTGAGTCCATGTGGCCATATGAGACTGAACTTTGGATGACTTTTCCATTCTTACGACTTTATTTCCAAGTTAATTGCCTTAGACTTAGATCAATTTACTGTTCAGAATTTTAATTAAAGGACGGTAGGCCTACACACAGGGCTCTGCAATAATTGTTTTCTTTTTATTTCAGTTTTAAATTAGGGACACCACATGAGTCATTCTGAAGTCACATTGAATTAGCACATGATGTGAAATGAGGGTTTCAGTGGATGTTGAAATTATTTCTACTTCAGTAGGTGGTTGGCAGATGCTCTTGCGAGATTTTTTTCCTTATTTCCTATCAAGCATCTGTGTCATCTGTATCTCTCCTCCTCCTTTTTTATATTTTGTGTTTGTTACGCTCTTGTAACACCTCTAATCTTAGTGGATGTTTGACCAATGCTCTGGTTTAGTTTGCTCCTTACTATCAAACATCTCTCGTCATAATCAATAATCCTTCCCCTTTCTTTTTTGCGTAAGTTACTCTCTTGTAACACCTTTAATGTGAGGCAGTTGCATGACCTCATTGTGTTGCAAGTGCAGTAAAACATCTACCAAGACATAAAACTACTTCTTTACTGCCACATGACATATTTCTAAATTTTCACATTATTTTGTTTAATAAAAAAAAAAAGAAAAAATTACCCTCATTTGAATTTATGAAAACTTGTCTGTTCTCTCCGTTGTATGTTGTGTAACAAAATTATTATGAGGTTTTCGTTTTCTTTCTTTGAATTTTGTCTTTAGTTTGAGTTATAAAGGAAACAAATTAACTGGTTGTTGCTTTTACCTTCTGATAATTTTCCTTTGCCCTCAGTTTGTTGTGATGACATTCTGGGCGCTCTACGCCATCGACAGAGAGCTGGTCTACCCGAAGAGGCTGGATGGGATTATACCACCATGGCTGAACCACACTCTTGTACGTAGTGTCAGGGCAACATTTGGTAGTGTGTTGTTCTGTGTGGCCTGACAAAGAATTGAAGTATGTGTTGGGTGTGATATTAAGTTTTGTAAGTGGCCAGAAAATTGGGTATTGACTGTTCTGTTGTTTTTATGGGCTTGTGTAAGTCATGGACCCTATTCCATTCTTGTCTGTTATATCCATCTCTTAGATTTATGTCCCATTTGTTCATTCTAATATTCCCAATTTGATCTCTTTACTGTCCACTGCCCACTTTTTCTCTGTCTGTCTGTCTCTTCCCCCCCCCCCCCTCCCCGGGCAGTGCTGCTGACTGAAGTGTCTTTAGGCCATTCCCAAAGGGGGGATATTAACATGTTCTTATGCACAGTAGAATTGTAAATGGGCTAATTTATCAATGTCGTGCTCGCACTGTGCCGGAACAACATAGGGGGAACTGCTGCTTTTTCTTTCCACCCCCTGGGGCGGTGCAACTGACTAAAGTGTCTTTAGGCCATTCTCAAAGGGGGGACATTTCTCGTTCATGCACAGTAGAATTGTAAATGGGCTGGTTCATCAATGTCACTCTCATAACTGTGCCTGATCTACAACAGGGAGCTGCTGCTTTTTCTTTCATAATCCTTACTATTGTCACTTTTCCTCTACTTCTTTTGTATGTTTGTCACACTCTTGTGACCCACTATTTCCGGGGTACCTTGAAAGTCGAAACAGACTTTGTGCTGTTGAAGCTAGAGAGATGAGCGGAGTAAGTCTGATTCCCTGTAAGGACTTCTCTGTTGACATTCACCCCTTGGCGCTCATATGACCTTATGCAGTTGCGAGTGCCGTAAAACCTCTACAAAATTAATTTTTTTTCCTTCCTCATCCCTACTATTGTCATTTTTCCTCTATTTCTTTTGTATGTTTGTCACTCTCTTGTGAACTGCTGTTTTCGGGGTGCCTTGATAGTCGAAGCAGACTTTATGCTGTTAAGGCTAGAGAGGTGAGCAGAGTAAGCCTCATTCCCCGTTTAGACTTCTCTGTTGACATCCACCCCTTGGTGCTCATATGACCTTATACAGAACTGTGAACACCTTAAGACCTTACTAAAACTAAACTGTCTGTCTGTCTGTCTTTCTCTCTGTCTCTCTGTCTCTCTCTCTGTCTCTCTCTCTCTCTCTCTCTCTCTCTCTCTCTCTCTCTCTCTCTCTCTCTCTCTCTCTCTTTCTCTCTCCCATCTCTCTCTCTCTCTCTCTTTCTCTCTCTCTCTCTCTTTTTCTCTCACCTCTTTCTCTTTCATCTCTCTCTCTCTCTCTCTTTCTCTCTCTCTCTCTCTTTTTCTCTCACCTCTTTCTCTTTCATCTCTCTGCCCCTCTTTATGTGTTTGACTCATTATGACTATTTATTTATTGTCTTTCAGCACACAACCGTTCTACCGTTCTTGTTGATAGAGAAAAGCCTCATCTACCATCAACACCCTAAGAAACATGTGGGGATTCTCGGATCCTGTGGCCTCGCTCTCATCTACCTGGCCTGGTGAGGTTTGCCCCCATTTCTCCTTTACTGTTTCCGTTCTTAAACTTAAACTCTTAAAGAATTTCTGCAAGTTTTGTAAAGGCTTTACAACAACAAAAAAGGGAGAGAAAAAAAAAACCCAGTAAAATTCTCCACAGAAAAAAAATAGTTTCCTGAGACTTGCAGTAGTGGGATCTAAGAAACACATTTCTCAGAGATGTCAGAGTTTACATTTGTTGTGGTTTTCCCCCAAAATATCGTTGTCTCAACTATTTTGTCCAAAATGCCTCTTTACTTAAGTACACCTTGGACAAAATAGTTCTGAGGCAACTATATGCTGAAAATGGGTGAGAACAAATTTGAATGCATTCTTTTCGCCCTGTAGTGTAAAACAAAGTCAAATCGGGTTTCCGGGCTGTTTTGAGCACAATTTCTTCTTCGTCTTCCAATTGCTGTCCTTCAATTCTTTGAATTTGGGGAAGAGATCAAAGTTGCATGGTGTAAGTCTCCGGAATAGTGGGGATATTCAAGCAACACCTTGCTCATGCATTGACCGGGGCGGCTTTCTTCTGACTGCTGGTCTCAGCTTTGTTTGAAGTTGAAGAATTATCTTGTTGTAATAATAGTTAACATTGTATGTTGTGCCAAAGGGAACGAGCTAGTTCAAAATCAGACTTTTGTGGTAAAAAAACAACACAATGTGCATAATTTTCAAAGCACCTTGCTTGCGCCGAGTTTTTCTGGGGTAGTAGCAGTAATCCTGGGTTCCTCCATTCTGCTGATTGTCTTTTCAGTTCAGGATCCCATAGTGTTGAATTTACAGAACAGGAAAACTTACACGTTTATCTCCAGTACAGACCCTGTAAATGTAGTATTAGGCGATTGGGGGTTATTGGCTGATGAGTGTGTAGTGTTGTGCATGATACAAGGAGCGGTTCATGTTTGTTGTTGATGGTGGTGTGGTGCTTTCGATGGGCGGTCATGGTGGTGGTTTTGATGTTTTGTAGCCCCCATTGATGATGATAATTGTGGCGGCTATGATGGTGATAGTGATACATATTGAAAATCTGTTTTCACTTCTCTAAAATGCAACATGAAAATAATAAAGAGTGAAAATAAGTGTCTACTTTAAATAATTATCAGACAATGAGAGTTTTAAGTCGCACTTGAAATGCTCTGACAATCAGTGAGTTAAGCTCCACTGGTATTCCGTTGTTCTTGCTGTAAGAAGATTGTATCCATTGCTTGTAACACACATCACTGCATAATATCATATCATTGTGTTCAGATATATATACCCCAAAGGAGATCGTATCCTTGTGTTTAGATGTAAGTATCCATAAATTTAGATAAACACCTCACAGATCATATCCATGTGTTTAGACTCACCTTGTACTTGTAGACTCGCATCCACACTTTGACTGCTCTTTACTGTAACTTTTCAAGACAGCATATGGTGAATTCTGACACTAAGCAGTCGATATGTTTAGATGTCCTCATAGAAAATTATATCCATAGATATGTTTAGAAGCACATCTTAGGGTCATATCTGTGTGTTCTGATATCCATGATATTCTTCGTAGAATCATATCTCTGTGTTGAGATATATCTTGTAGGATAGAAAACATATCTTGAGAAGCACGTTATGTTTTGTTTTTTGTTGTTTTGTTTTACACATTTGTGTCTCTGTACCCACTGAAACAACCCTCAACTTCTTGTTCAGCTTGCTGATCCTTGCCCATTTTTCTTCCTTCCCTAGGATTTTGTTCATCGCTTACTACGACAACTTCTGGGTATATCCAGTCCTTGAGGTTCTAGCAGCTCATGAGAGGGCAGTGTTCATCTTCGTCTGCCTCCTTTTCTTTGCTTCCCTCTATATATTGGGAGAGTCCATCACTACTTTTAACTGGAGTAAGTACAGTGTTAATGGAAAGATGTAAAAATATACAAAACTGCATATATTTTTAAGCCCTTGCAAAACTGAAATTGTGAGTTTTTTTAAGAGGCGAGACCTCTAAATTTGACATCCATTTTAAATTAAAAAAGAGAGCCAAATGGGAGAATTTGTGTTAAGCGCCTCTCAGGGAAACAATTCAGACCAAGCTGATCCTCAAACACCCAAACTTGCAATCTCATGATTACAAGTCAGGTGGCCTAACCAGTAGACTTCTGACGCCACCTGGAAAAATGTGTTGAAGCATGGAAAGATTTGTGTTTTAACTACTTTGATTACTTAACAGCTTTTGACAAGGTTAGACGCATCAAATTATAAAAAGTTCTGAGAGAGCTGGACCTGTAAGCAAAAGATGTAAGAATTATTGGGAATCTTTACCTGAATCAAAATGCTGCTTTAAGAGCTATTTTATGAAAAAGGAAATAAGATAACACTTAGATTTAGTAAACGGACGGTTTTGGTCTCTTATTCAACTCTTTGGCATTTGTTTTTGTTTGTAGTATGTATTAAAAAATTTCTTTGTAAGTGGTTGGTCAGCTTCCTTTTGAGGCTTATTTCATCCACTTTTTATTTCTCTGATCTTAATTATATTATGATCTGTTTGTGTGTGTTGGAAGTGCCTTAAAGCTTTTAATAAAATTTTAAACCAAACTATTTTCACTACATTGCTAATAACTTTCCTTGTCTTTTTTATACAAAATTCAACATTAACTTACCAACCAGTTAGTGGGCGCTCTTTCGTACCAAATATGTTATCCTCTCTCCTCCTTCTTTTTTATGTTTGTTACTCTCTTGTAACACCTCTAATCTTTGGCACTTATATGACTTAATTGTGTTGCAAGTGATGTAAAACGCTTGCTAAAACATATTATTATTATACCAATCTATTGTTTGACTGCACCTCAGAAACTCAATTTCATACATTCAGTGAATTCACTTTAGCCAAATTCTTTGAAACTGCTTGATGTTCTTCAGTTTTGAGAAGTCACTCAAATAGAAGGAAAAAATAGGAGGTTTTCTTTTCGTTCGGTTTACTGCTGTTTTCAGATTGGCCATGTTCGGTTTAAGCAGACTCCACAGTAATTTTCTCATATTTTAGACACATGACAGATTGACTTTGGTGTGAGTAACCTAGTTTCTAGTTATAATAATGTAAAACTTTTCTTGAATTATACCCTCTTTTTTTTTTTTTTTTTACATCCAATCGCAGGAAAGGAACTCAGAGTGCTCAGAGTGGTGCAAATCTCTCGCAATAAAAAAGACTAAGGACTACAGCCTCCCCGATCATGGCAGGACATAGACAACGCTTACATAGACACCTGCAGGAGGACAAGTTTTCTTTCTGTTTTCATCATGTTGACATCTACTTTATCTCGGGGATGTGATAACGAGACATGGACATGAGTAATGATAGATTGTTTCTGGAGACTCTCAATATGAAGCCATACGTATGCTGCACTTGTTTGTGTCATGAGAAAGTTAAGTTTGTGTTTGTATTCAGATCTTTTGTGAATGTTCTATTAGATTTATTGTTCTGTAAAGTGTGTGTTTGTATTCAGATCTTTTATGAATGTTCTATTTATTGTTGCTCTGTTTCCCGTTGCTCCTGTTGGCTGTCTAAATTGCTGATTAATAACTTGTTACTCTATATGTATGGAACTGAGGTACACATGTTCTTTCTATTCACCATGATGTCTTCAGTATGTGATTGTAAAGACTTTCACTTTCATCCAGAGAATGTATAGTGTACTGTTATTACTTGTGTTTGAGGAACAGTCAGAGAATTGGTTTATCACTTTTTTTTAAAATTGTTCCTGACCAATTTTTTTACTTTGTCATGTTCCCTTGTATTCTGTAACTAAATTGAAGTTGCTGGATTTGAGGCCCCTTCTTATTAGGTCACAATTGTGTATGCTGTGTTGTTAGGGTAACTGAAAAGAATTACATTGTTTTGTTTCAATTTAAAGGTGTAAAGTGCTCAGAGCTTATACTAGTATACTAGTATGGGATAGAGTGTTATATAAATGCAATCTTTTATTTTTTTTTAATTATTTTTTTTTAATATGTACTTTTCGTATCTTTCAAATTATATATGTGCTGTTGGGTTTTTTTTCATGTTTGTCTTTTTTTTTCGATGAGGGCTCAAGTATTACCCTTATGACAGTATTACTAGATCACATATTGTGTTTCCATACTTGAGAGGAATAAGCAAGTTTATAAAACTATTTTCATTCCTCTCGTATAATGTTCGTGTGTGAGCACCATTTTTTAAAAAAATGTTTGTTGCTTCAACCTTTCTTATTGAATTCACAGTTGCACATCGTGTCAGAAGTGTGGCAATAGAAATACAGCTCGGCGCTGATAAGTTAGACGTGTTGGGGATTGGCAAATGTGTTCAGCACATCCATAATTCTGGTTGACCTATAACAAAAAATTACAGAGATATCAGTTGGGGAATGGCAAATTGTTTGAGCTACCGGGTGTCCGTGATTTCGAGTTTTCCGGAATCTTGTTGTCAGTGGCCAGCTGTATGTGTCTCGACACAATGGAATCATATGCTCATCAATTTTTTGGCATATTGAGTTATTGGTATAATCGTAAAGCATTTTGATACGCTTTGCTTTTGATGAATAAGGTATTCATTTATCCTTAATAGAAGTTAAGATATTTGTGATAGAAGGAGATGGAGGTCGCATAATAATGTCTGAAGTAAAAATAACAAGAAAATTGCAGCCAAAGTGTGGTGACTTCCAAAGCTTAAGTGTCCTTAGATACTGCAAAGTTACGTAACTTGTGCCTTTGCTCGACATTTTCCAGTAAAATCTGTGCGGGAACATGTTTTTAAATAGACATAAACAATGTTGAGACCAGTTTAAAAGTTAAAAAATAAATAAAAACTGCTCAACAGCCGGAAAATGACTTTTTTTTTAAACTTTATTGTTATGGCGAGTGCCAGATTTCACTATGGTATGTATGCCACCATATGTATTATATATTTTTAATTTCTCTGAATGTTTGGACTTTTTTGGGTCTGTTCTGTGGTTGTTATTCTTGTCTAACGAGTTTGCTGTATAATTATTTTTTTATCTGTGATTTAGCTTGTATAACGTTTTTATATTTATTTATAAATGGTCGCTATTTTTATATGTTTTGTAATGCTGTTATTTTACTTAAAGGATCTTAACTGTGCGTTCATGTTATCTTAATGTGTCTTTATTACTATGTCACTATGTATAGGAGAATCAACTGTCATTCCAAATGTATGTTTTGTATTATATTTGATTTGTTACCCATGGACAGTGCAGTCTTTTTTTAAATGTATTAATATTAATAGAGATCAAAGTGTTAAGTGTATTTTATTCCAGATCAAATTGCTCAGAGTATTCATATCATCTAACTCCATGACGTCTTCAAGAAAAAGGAAAAAATATGTCCTTCATGAAAAGTAAGCAGAAACTGCCTGGTCGTGTCAGATCGGAGTATGACAAGTGCGACAGCACTTGCACGTTCTTCGGGTTCTACCAATTTCAGTTTTTAGTTGGTATGATTTATCTTTTAACACTCTCAAGTTTTTTCCTTGCTCATAGACCTGAATACAGAGTGTATAGCCTGTAAAGAGATTGTGTCACGACGCTGTGGAGTCAGGTGCTCTTCGGTTTTGGGGCATGTTGAGTTTTTGGTATAATCTTAAAGCTGGGGTTCATTTGCCTCTTTTTCAATGAAAAAAAACCCATCTGTCTTGAGTAGAAGTCCAAATATTAGTGACTGAAGGAGGTAGGGGTCATCTGGTTTCAGAGACAAAATTAGCAGGGAAATAGCCACCAAAGTTTCCAGACTTCCAAAGCTTTAGAGTCTTTGAAGACTACAAAGTTACATTTTTTGTGGCTTTAGTCTACGGATTTCAGTAAATCGAACACATCAATGTGTTCTTAAGTAGATAAAAGGTGTTGAGCCAAAACTGAAAAAAATCGACAAAAATTGCCAAATGAGCATAAAAATGATGGTTTCTTCAATTTCAGCGCCTGATTTCCCCATGGTGCCTTACATATGGGTGGACATTTTAGATCCATACAGCTGCTTCAAGTAGGTTGAAATTTCTTGTCTGTGTTTTGCTGCAAGGATGTTGATTCCTCTCATTTTATTTGGATTTTCATTATAAATTAAACTTTCCAAGATGTAAAACTACATTTGTGAAAAACTGTGTGTGTAAACACTATATTTCAGATTTTTCAGGATGCTAACATGAGCTTTCTCAATTTCAACAAACAGAACAAAGTCTTTGTTTCAGTATGTTTTCTTTCATTCTGCAGTCAATGTTGTAAATCAGAATATGAAAATGCTCGTTTTGAGTCCCTCTCTGGGATATATTTTACCACAGGATGTCGCTCTTTGTAAGCTATTTAAGTCTTTACGCTCTGGTGTCTTTAGATTTAGTGAATTTCTGTGTATTATTCTTAAATAATCTTTGTCTTGTGGAATGGGTGTAAAATCAGATTTCGTACAGGCAAATTTTGTTTCCACCTTGACTAAAATTTCTGCCCCCAAACTTCATTAACTTAAAATGCAAAAGAAAGTCCCTTGTTATTTTAATAAATTTTCTTCCTTTATGTCTGTGTTTTTGTTTGTTTTGTTGTTTTTTAAAAATTCCAATTGAGTATCCGGTGCGTTTTAATTTCTTACATTGACAACTGCGTGCATTACTGAACTTTGGTGTAGATGGTTGGTGGGTGCCCTGGTGTTGTCTTCTCCTTCTTCCCAATCATACATCCATCTATTGTCCTTCTCTCTCCTCCTTGTTTTTTTAATGTTTGAGTTTGTTACTCTCTTGTAACATGTCTAATCTTCTGAACTTAAAAGTTATATATATATAACCCAATTGTCTTGCAAGTGCCGTAAAATGTTTTTTGGTATTTGTTTGTGGTATTTGCTCAGAGAATCTGCAAGTGATTGGGGGGTGGGGTCATAGTATAGCAGGCTGTACCTTTCTTTTCTTTCCCACATTTGTTTCCTTCAATCTGTCTTTTTTTTTTTTTTTGCTTTAAAAATTAAATGACTGCAAAAAGAGTCTTACCCTTCAGGGCGGTGCTACTGACTGAAGTGTCTTCAGGCCATTCCCAAAGGGGGGACAATCCCCCTGGGGCGGTGCTACTATCTGAAGTGTTTTTAGGCCATTCTCAAAAGGGGGGACATTAACCTGTTCTTATACACAGCAGAATTGTAAATGGGCTGATTCACCAGTGTCATGCTCATAACTGCAACAGGGAACTGCTGCTTTTTCTTTCTTATCCTTACTACTGTCGTCATTTTGTATGTTTGTCACACTCTTGTGACGCGCTATTTCCGGGGTGCCTTGATTGTCGAAGCAGACTTTGTGCTGTTGAATTTAGAAGGTGAGTAGAGTAAGTCTGATTCATTGTAAGGGCTTCTCTGTTGACATCCACCCCTTGGCGCTCATATGACCTTATGCCGTGCCGTAAAACCTCTACTATAACAAACAAGTTAGGTGAACATAAACAAGAACGCCAGTGAACCCTCCAGCCACCTGCAAAAAAATATGAGAGTTTTGAGCTTTACACTTCATCATCCTCGGTGGTCCTAATATCGATAAGATCTTATCAGGAAAAGACATTTAGTAATTAATCCTTGACCGTTTTCATTATAATGAACATCAATTTGTAGGTCCGACGACTCATGATAATTTTTTGCAGCTCTAAACCTACCTATAATTATGTCGCACAAGTACCGAAGAATCGCCTATTGTAAGCCCCATTTGGCTGCATTGTGGTCTACTGCAAGCTAACTGTCCCTGCAATTGCAACAGTACGTTCCAACTTCCAGGGCTGTCTCAACAGTATTATACCCTCCCTCCCCCAATCTCTACAAAGAGCAAAGCGCCAGACTGCTGCTCTGGGTTCCTATCTACATAAGCACATTATGGGAGCATAATTAATACATGTACATGTAACGTAACATTCGCGCGCGCGAGTGTGTAATTCAAGAAAAAGCACAGGATATAACATGGAAATTATGGAATCACACACAAGGGACCTGCTGGTGTCAGTACATGTTTTAGGTTTTGGTGGAGACATGCTCTAACATACATAAATGTATATATACACTTATTTTTTTAAAGAGGTAGGAACAGCATCAAATTAAATGACATTACGCTATAAACACACACACACACACACACACACACACACACACACACACACACACACACACACACACACACACACACCTCCTAGGTATCCACACGCATTCTCGCTTACAAACGCATTTTTACTGGCAGAGGATGATGATGAAAAAGAAAATCTCTCTCTCTCTCTCTCTCTCTCTCTCTCTCTCTCTCTCTCTCTCTCTCTCTCTCTCTCTCTCTCTCTCTCTCTCTCTCTCTCTCTCTCTCTCTCTCTCTCTCACTCTCTCTCACTCACTCACCCTCTCTCTATCTATATATCCTCCTGTCTATCTATCTTTCTACCAATATCTCTATCTATCTATCCACCTATCTATCTATGTCTCCCTCTGATTATACGATGCGTATCTGTTGGAAGGGAATTTCCATTTTAAGGGCAAACTTAAGGAATAACTAATTAACAAAGCTCTCCCAACAAACTTTATCAAATTCGCCACATTAAACTGCTCAAAAGTTGTAGGGGTGTCGACGTGCTTTTCATAAGCCAAAAAACAACAAATCAAACTCAAGTCAATTATATTACATGTGATTGGTTTGCGAGTGCTCTGGTCTAGTTTGCTCCTATCGTTTCTATGAAAGATATATCGTCCTTATTTCTCCTCATTCTGTTTCTGTGTTTGTTACTCTTTTGTAACACCTCTAATATTTGACACTTATAATAAGATAAGATAAGATACATCTTTATTGTCCAGATCCTGGCACATTGGTTTGTGTTTCACCACATGTACACACACGCACACACACGTAAGCTTACAGTCTCATGCATAATATAAATGAGCAGCAATATAAACAATAATAATCGTAAGCTAGATTCACACTCAATGTTATTTTGATGCATGCTCTGGGGTCGTAAGTATACTTAAACAAGATTGTTAAGATGGAAGCATTTTGATAGACGATGGTAAAAGTGACCTTCTATATATTTCTTTCTTTGTTACACTAACTTTAAAACACTATTACCAAGATTAGGTCAGGACCCGGGACCGACTAAAGTTCGAAAGAAGGTGTTCATGGCGACAGGTCAACTTGGTAATAAGTAAATAAGCCAAACAAGAACGCCAGTGAACCCTCCAGCCACCTGCAAAAAAATATGAGAGTTTTGAGCTTTACACTTCATCATCCTCGGTGGTCCTAAAATCGATAAGATCGTATCAGGAAAAGACATTTAGTAATTAATCCTCGACCGTTTTCATTATAATGAACATCAATTTGTAGGTCCGACGACTCATGATAATTTTTTGCAG